GCGCGCCCAGCGCGGAACACGCCGACACCGCGGCGACACCAGAGGAGGAAGAGGGAGAGGCGCGGGAGGAGGGGCCAAGTGGCACGGACCCCCACTATCTGGAGTGGCAGTACACACGCGATGCGCTGCAGCAGGAAGGCCGGACTTTTGAGGGAGAGGCACACGCGGTGCAGCCGCAGGAATTGCGCAGACGGAGTGAGGCGCAGGACAGGCGCACAACGGGAGTTCAGCGACGGTGTGCGGAGCCGAGGGACGGAAGCTGTTGTTCAGGATCCGTCACTTTGAGAGCTTACAACGAACTCAATTTTCTACTAAACGCAAATCCGCTCCCTAGGATGTTGCCCCTTAGGCTTAGCTACCATCTCCAAGTTGAATCAGTCGTTAAGATGGTCTATAGAGTGAGAACTATGTAAAAACGTCCAGCAGCTGCATGACTAGAATGGTGGAGGAAGTACAAGCATTAGGGCATAGGAAATTGGAGTTGGGGGCTCCAAGAGAACCATGAGAGGGAAGGGGTTCTCCAAGAGCTAGGGAAGGATGGTAAGAACCTTCCTAGCAGCAAGGATGCAACCCTCATAATGAGGTCCTTGAGGTGTCACATGCAAAATCCAATCTAGTTGGATTTTGCCTAGGTGTTGCAACATTTGCAACCCACACTAGAAACTTCTAGCCACCCCAATCCAAAAGTCAAAGTTGCCTTCCCTAACCACCCAACCAAAGATCCCTTAATAGTCATGTCCCAAGTAATCATCCAAATTAGATGTAACCCCAAAAGATAATAAGTAATCCAAGTCTTGGAAATCTTGTAACTTGGGCGATCTTGGTCGGAATAAGGCGATCTTGGTATCGTTGGAAAGCTCTGGATTTTTCCTGCATGATCAAGCATTTAAACTTGGAGAAAAACACAGAGATAAAAATATCCAACAGCCATGCACAATGACATATGCTCATACAGAAAATGCATGCATGAATAGCACGAGCACTCGGCAGGATGTTAGGATGACATCCATTCTCAATGAGACTCTTGAACTCCGCATCCATGGCAGCCTTCCACTCCTCCTTCTGGGGTCCATTGAGTGCCTCCTCCACTATGGCTGGTTCTCGAGGCAAGGGTGTGAAGAAACAGAAGGCCATCTCCTCATCCTCTCCCTCATCCACCTGAACCGCCATGGCACCTTGCTTGGGTCCTCCCAAACGGCTATACTTCAGCCTTGAGGGTGCTGCTGCCACTCTCTTCTAGTAGGTTGCAGTCTGCTGCCCATGTGGTGAAGCTCCTCTATGCACAATCCTCTTGGTGACCTTGGCGTTTGCAGCAGGCTCGGGCTGAGATGGTGAGTCCACACGTGCCGACTCATCCTCCAACCCTGCCTCCGCAGCAGGACCAGCACCTTGCTGCTCACCACCGCCATTGTGGTTACAGGTCACCTCTGACCCAGGGAGATCCTCAAGGTGTAGCTGAACCTCCTCCACTGCAGACCGCTCAATTTCCTGCAGACGTAAGCCAATCTGCACCTGCTGCTGCTGCCGCTACTCCTTGTACGTGACGTCCTCCACAATCTTCACTTCACGGCTGACTAGCGTCTTCTTGCTCTTGGGGTCCTACATCAGCCACCCCTTTGAGTCAAGAGCCATCCCAAGATGGACAGCCCACATAGCAGCAACTTCCAGCTTGTGCCTCTGCTTCTTAGGCACAATCACAAGCCCCATGCAGCCCCACACCCGCAGCATGTCAATAGATGGCTTCTTCCCAAGCCAACGCTCGTATGGCACCCAATGCTTGTCACCAACATGTGTCAAGACCCTGTTCTTGACCGTGATGACATGGCGAACGGCATCAGGCCAGAACTTGTAAGGCATCCCAGCAGCCCCCAACAAGGTCTCAGCCGCCTCGCCAATGGTCCGATTGGCACGCTCAGCAATGCCGTTCTGCTGCCGTGTTCCTGGGCAGGTCAGCTGGTGTCGATTGCCGTTCCTCTTGATGAACTTTGTGAATTCCGCTCCAAGGAACTCTTCACTTCGGTCGCTCCTCAGCACCTTCACCAGCCGCATCGCTTGCCGCTCCACCATCGGCAACCAATCCTCCTTGATCGCCGCTGCAGCATCGCTCTTCTTGGACAAGGGACGTGCCCACGTGAAACGGCTCCATTCGTCCACCATGGTGAGGAAGTACAGCACACCCCAGTCTCCTCAGTCCTCATAGGACCCACCAGGTCCATGTGCACCACCTCCAGTGGCGCCTTCGCTGATCCCTCCGCACGTGGAAACGGGAACCGCGCAAACTTGTTTTGCATACACGCCTTGCAGTTGCCACAGTGAGTGCCATCTCCTTGCAGTTGCAGCCCATGCACGCACTACTCCTTGTGCATCACCTCCAATGTAGATACAGCCACGTGTGCGAGCCGCCGATGCCAAGTCTCCCAATCCGCTTGGCCCGAGGTAGCCGACGCCTTCACCGCCGAGCTTCCTCCAATCAGCTCCTCTCCTTGCACACCTTGCTGCTCCTCCTCGGTGACGCTCTTCTCCATAGATGCCGCCGCTGCCGCCTTGCCCGATCTCTGCCAAGGGAGGACCGGGATCTGCCACATGCGCTTGCAGACATCTCCCTTCCACTGCAGGTCCCAAATGAGGCGCTCATCGTTGTAGGCACGATAGTGCTCCGAGCCAACCGTCTCGGTGTTCACACCTTCATCTCCCAACCGGCCGGTAGAAATCAGGTTCGCGCACAAGTCCGGCACCCACAGCACGTTATTTAGCCCCACGAGCTCTCCATCTGCTCCCATGAACTTGGCACATCCCATGCCCATGACCTTGGCCTTGGCGCCTGTCGCAGATGTGACTGTAGAGATGGGTGCGGGCTGAATCTCATCGAGTAGGTCCGCACGAGGAGTCATGTGCCAAGAGCTCCCGGAGTCAATCACCCAATGGATGAGGGGGTGTAAGATGACCTTGGTAGCCATAGCGAGGTCGGTTGCGCCTTCGTTCACGAAGAAGAAGAACCCAGCCTTCCGCTACTTAGATTTGCAGCCTTTCTCCCCATCCTTCTCCTCTCCACTAGCTCCCATGACTCCCCCACTCCTCGTGCCACCACGCTGGTTGCTTGATGAAGTCGGGGTCCAATCCTTGAGTCGTTGGTAGCACTTCCGCCAACGATGTCCGCGCTTCTTGCAGTAGAAGCACACCTCCTCTTGACCCCCGCTGCCATCCTCCTTAGGGCTGTCCTTGTTCTTGCCCTTCCACTTCTTCTTGAAGCCACTCTTTCCACCTCCAACTCCATAGCCAGCCCCCTCCTCCGAGCGCTCCACACTCCGACGCCGCAAGTCCTCCTCAAGGATGCGCGCGCGCCTATAATCCACGCTCCACTGGGGCTGTTGAGAGTTGAGGTTGATCGCTAGGGCAGACCACGACTCCGGCAGCCGTATCACAATCTCCACGCATTGCACCAGCTCTGGGTACACTACACCGCCGCCTTCGAGCTTCGTGAAGATGTCCTGCATCTCATCCAACACCGGTTGTTTGGTTCTCCATCAACGAACTTGATGTCGCGCAGCCGCCGCGCGAGTAGCACAATGCCGGTAGCATGTGTCGGTGAGTGCACATCCAGAAGCTTCCTCCAAGCCTTGGGGCCACACTCTCGATCACCCAAGAGGTCCTTGATGTGGTCAAGTTGTCATCCGCCAACCGCTTGCACCATGAGCATGTACGCGTCGAACGATCGCTTCATCCACGCTCCTTTCAGCTCCGCGGCCTCCAGCATCTTCTCCTTCCCCTCCACCAGATCCAAAAGCTTGTATTGGGTATATATCAGCCTCATGCGGAAACTCCAGTGCTGGTAGTCCTCCCCCATGAACTTCTCAATAGGGAATGCCTTCACAGGATCCAGGGTTGTAGGAGATGGTGTAAAAGTTGAAGGTAGCGTTGGGTTGGCTGGTTGGTGAGTCCTCACTCCTCCAACAGCAACTCCACCTTGCTCTTCAGCCTCGCTACTTCTATCCATCTCGCCACTAGCACCTCCGGAGTTCGTACCAACCATATTGAGGCCTTATGAACGGTGGAAACTTGAGATATCGTTTGGAGAGAATTCTGCCAGAAATGTCGATTCTACGAAAATAGCCGTGGCGGACCGGATAGTTCGATTAAGAATGCGATTTGACTACAAATCGAAAGTTCGCAAGCAGAGCTACTAGAAAATGGTCTTGCTTGTTAACATCCGTTGAGATTTCACAACCATCCGTCGTCTCAAAGCCGACTACCCGCTCTGATACCACTTGTTGTTCAGGATCCGTCACTTTGAGAGCTAACGACGAAGTCAATTCTCAACTAAACGCAAATCCACTCAGTAGGATGTTGCGCCTTAGGCTTGGCTACCATCTTCAAGTTGAATCAGTCGTTAAGATGGTCTATAGAGTGAGAACTATGTAAAAACGTTCAGCAGCTGTATGACTAGAATGGTGGAGGAAGTACAAGCATTAGGGCATGGGAAGTTGGAGTTGGGGGCTCCAAGAGAACCATGAGAGGGAAGGGGTTCTCCAAGAGCTAGGGAAGGATGGTAAGAACCTTCCTAGCAGCAAGGATGCAACCCTCATAATGAGGTCCTTGAGGTGTCACATGCAAAATCCAATCTAGTTGGATTTTGCCTAGGTGTTGCAACATTTGCAACCCACGCTAGAAACTTCTAGCCACCCCAATCCAAAAGTCAAAGTTGCCTTCCCTAACCACCCAACCAAAGATCCCTTTATAGTCATGTCCCAAGTAATCACCCAAATTAGATATAACCCCAAAAGGTAATAAGAAATCCAAGTCTTGGAAATCTTGTAACTTGGGTGATCTTGGTCGGAATAAGGCGATCTTGGTATCGTTGGAAAGCTCTGGATTTCTCCTGCATGATCAAGCATTAAAACTTGGAGAAAAACACAGAGATAACAATATCCAACAGCCATGCACAATTACATATGCTCATACAAAAAATGCACGCATGAATAGCACAAGCACTCGGCAGGACGTTAGGATGACATGCACTCGGGATGACGTGCATCCAACAGAAGCTCGCGCTTGTCAAGAGAACCGCCGCCGAGGGCTGAGCGGTACGGGGATGCGGAAGGAAGGCGGAGAGGGGTGGAGAAGAATATGGTCCGCTCGGTGGCTCGACCCCAGGCACATGGAGGAAGCCGTGGCGGGGAGCATCCATTGCTAGAGACGCAGCGGCACTGGGAGGGGCGCCGGAAGGGAGGATCACGCTCACCGCGCAGGCGGCAGCGGTGGGGGGAAGGGCCCAGGGGAGAGTCGCGGTCGCCCGACCGGCGCGGTTGGCGAGGGGAAGGCGGGAAGAAGCAGGCCGCTCGCTGCATGGCATATGGCAGCAAGGGGAGGGAAGGGAGGAGTGGTCGCCACCCCCAGCGAGACGTCAGCCGCGTGACGCTGGCCCAAGGGAATGGGAGCAGTGTCACTAGTTGCCGGCACGGCGATGGGAATGGGCAGGAAGGGAGGAGGGTCAGTAAGAACACTCGGGAGAGACGCACGGAGAGCAGCTGGAGAGCAGGGCCAGGGGTGGCAGCTTGGCGTAAGGGGCTGAGCGTGCACGAATGGCCAGAGAGGGCGTGGAACAAGCTGGGAAAAAGGGGGGGTATGGGAGACCGCGGGGAGGGGTGAGTGAGTCGTGGGGAGAGGGATGAGGGGGCGCAGCCACGGCGACAAGGGTAGAAATGCTGGCCAGGTTCTCAGGCGATCAGCAGGCGGGGCCGTCGCTCAAGAACTACCTGATGCAAGTGGGGAATGTGAAGTATCGATGCGATCGGAATGGCATGGACCCCATAGACTTCTTCTTGAGCCTGCCAAATACCTTAGATGGGGAAGCCAAGACTCTGTACTATATGAGGATGGAGGAGCTACTGTGGAGGGTAGGGAGGTACGGGGAAGACCCAACCAAAGCCTTATTGGAGCGGTTGCAGCGGCAGTTCCCAGGGCACACGGCGGAAAGGCTAAGGGAATTTCAGGAATTCAAGCGAGGAAGGGCAGAATCATTACTGGCGTACTACAATAAAGTGATCAACGTAGCAGAGGATGTGAGGTGCACAGATAGTTCCTGGGGGGCTTGGACGAGGCATTGGGAGGCGGGCTGCGGATGAAGGTGTATGAGCTGGGTGCGGAGGCAAGACTGGAGGAGGTATTCGAGCTAGCCGAAAGAGTGGAGCTCGCACAGAGGAAGTATGAGGCATACCTACCCAGACAGCTGGAGAGAGCCCGCAGGCCAACCTGGGCGGCAGCCATTATACCAGAGGAACAAGGGAAGGTAGAGGAGCGAGGAGAGGCACGGGCAGAAACCAGGAGTTGCCACCGCTGTGGACAGCCAGGGCACCTCCGCAGAGATTTTAAGAACTGTGATGAGTGCGGGAAGCCGGGCCACCGCAAGCAAAAGTGTCCTGATGCCGCCAGGTGCGAGGTGTGCAACAAGAAGGGGCACAAGGCCAAGGACTGCTATCAGAGGGAAGGAGGAGCCTGGAAGAGTTGCAGCGACAGATCAGCAGGCTGCAGACGCAGCTACGGGCAATGGGACCAAGATGGGGGGCAGAGGCAGGGATGTATGTGAGAGACGAGGAGGGAGAGAAGGTGGAGCAGGACGTGCAGTGCGCACTCATGGCATGGAGGGGAAGAGAGGAGATGGGGCTGAAACCAGACGGTAGGCAGGAGCAGAGAAGGAAGGTCCGGGAGAAGGGGCAGAAACCAGAGGGTCCAGGGTTGGTTCTGCCGCCAGCACGCCATCCACAAGAGAGGCTGACATGTCAGACCTCAGTGTTGCTGCTGGAAGAGGGGGCTATGGAAGTGGAAGGAGAGAAGGTAAAGATTACCATCATAGACACGGGGGCACAGAGCGTGATGCTAGGCAAAGGGCTGGCTGAGAAGCTGGGGCTCTTGGCTCCAGAAAGGCATGTGAAAAGGGGGATGTTGGTGATGACAGCAGAAGGGGGGGATCCGAAGTGGATGCCCTGCTCTCGGACACCCATAGAGGTGACACTATTGCCAGGAGGGGAGCATGAAACCAAGATCAGAATGAAGTGTGGCATCTTTGAGTCCAAGGATTTTGACCTGTTAGTGGGCACAGAGCTGGTGTTTGCGGTGGGCATGACCATCTGCATGTGGAAAGAGAGGGTGGCGTTCCGAACGTGGTACTCAAAGAAGGAGGGGCCACTAGGGGAGCTGCCAGCGCGATTCGCGAAGGTGGAGCCCAAGAGAGCGTATCAGGCCATGGCGGAGCAGGAAGCGGAGATAGCAGAGGCGGGGAAGCGCAAGGGAGTGGGCGGGACCATGGAAGTGCCAAGAATGAGGATGATGGATGAGCCAAGGTGGCAGGGCGACTGGCAGCAGCCCATCCACTTGGTGGAATTGTTTGGAGGGATTGGGGCGGGATTAGCTGTAGTGATGAGGAGTGGGATCGCAGTGCAGAAGTGGGTGTATGTGGAACAGGCGCCAGTGGTGAGGAAGATGGCTAAGCATCACGCGTGGAAGCTGCAGGCAGAGTTCCCAGAGCTCGTGAGTGCGGGGGTGATCCGTGAAGCCATGAAGAGAGATGGTCATGATGTGGCTCAACTGACAAAGGCGGAGGTGGCCAGCTGGGGGCAGGTGGATCTGCTGGTGGCTGGATGGGAGTGCCAAGGGGTGTCATGGGCGGTCAAGGGGAGAGGAAAGGGGGATCTGAGGACACAGCTGATGGAGGACCTCTTCCGCATCCTGGAATGGCTGCAAAAGAGGTAGGGCAGGGTGGCATACCTGGTGGAAAACCTGGACTTAGAAGGGGACAGCACGGAGCCAAGGTGCGGGAGAGGATCAATTGGGAGAAGGGGTGAGCAGTGATGCAGCCAGAATGGGGTCACTTGCTTACCGATTGAGAATGTATTGGCAGAACATAGTTCCAGCACCGAGGCTGCAGGAAGAGATAGAGGGGGTGAGAAGGGCGCCAGGAAGAAAAGTACAGGACATCCTTGAGCCAAGACGGACCCCAGCGCCAGTGCATCGGAAGGGGTAAAGCAGACATTATCCCTGCAATCAGGTGGGACAGGCGCGACGGGCGCTGCCCACTCTGGCTACATATGCAGGAGCGGCAGGATATGCGTGGGCAGCAGGGGAACCGGGTCCAGGACTCATATATGATCACAAGAAGAAGCGGTGGGAGGAGCCGACCGCGCTGGAGCGGGAGCTGGCCTTGGGATATGGGGAGAATGCAACGGCGGCTCCTGGGGTGAGCGCGGCCAACAGGAAGAGGGCCCTAGGGAATGCCATGGACGGCAACGTGATAAGATGGCTGGTCCAGCGGATGTGGAGAGAGATAGTGGTGAGCTGGGGGGAGGAGGAAGGAGAAGGGGGCATGGAGCCACGCCTTCAGGGAGCGTGGGCATGCCAGGAGAAAGAGGAAGAGACGTGGAAGGTAGGGGAGGCGATGAGCGAGGAAGGGAAGGAAGCTATGCTACGGTTGCTGACCAAGCACCGACAGTGCTTCGCCTTCAACCTGCAGGAGTTGGGAAGGTGCAAGGTGAAGGAGATGGAGTTGAAGCTGAGCAGTGCGGAACCCGTGTTCCATTGGAGGAGGAAGATGCTGCACGAGGATGAGGAAGTCTGAAAGGAAAAAATCAAGGAGCTGCTCGAGGCGGGGTTGATTAGGCGGTCGGAGTTGTCACCGCATATGCACCTAATGCATGTGCAATAACAGTAGGGTGATGGTATAGGCAGTGCCCTAGGTTGCAGCAATAGGAAGATTAGATGGTTATGATAGCACAGAATAGAAATAGGCTGGAGGTGTAGATTGTAGCAAGAGAGCTGTTAGGAAGGGGTGCAGAAGGGGGGAAACGGGATAAGAGCGGTTGAGATAAAAAGGGGGAATGACACCGAAGGGCGAAATGTGAAACCAATCAACCCCAACCCCGAGCCGAACATTTGGAAATGTGCAGCCTGGGGTTGGGTAAGGTCACTCACCTCCAACCCCTCGATGCTTTCTCGTTGTTTTCTCATTGTGAAAGTTGCTATCTTGGCTCTAGCACACTGAGGCACATCACTAAGAGGGAACCTATGGGGTGAGGGACCAAACACTTTTATAACAACGAGAAAGGGGGCATCAAAGGGTTGGATATGGATAAGTACGAATTGCGATGGGGTAGAATGTTCAGCCGACGGGAAGAGGAACGGCCGCGACGCGAGCCGTCACGTGAACGAGGATGATCCTTGGAGCGATCGCCACGCTGGCCGGCCTTCCGCGCGGATCGAATCCCCCTTGAAAGAGACCGTCGAGAAGAAGAATCGACGGGCAAGGGACCAGGTGACGCCGCGCACATTGGAGGCGCGGACAGAGACGCGTGGCTGCGAGAGAGAGCGCGCCGAACTGACAAGGATCGCGGAAACCGTCGCGACGCAGGCGTGTTCTGCCCTACGGAAGATCGAGGACGGCGCCGTGACAAGAGAGGGCGTTGGCGTGGTTTCGGGGAACTTCCCCGGGGGCGGGGAGGAGACATTGGCGGCAATGACCGAAGGGGGGTCTCGCTGGAAAACGCGGCACAGGAAGTGACATGGGAGCAAGGCGCGGAAGAGGATGAGGAGAACCAAGGGCGGTAGGTTGAAGAGGCCGATGAAGGATGTTGGCAACGACCAAATAGCGGGAACGGGTGAGGCTGAACCCGCGCAAGCAGACGAGGACGCGGGCGCAAGCCAGGCGGCAGCTGAGGAACCGAGGGCCGTGCTGCGGGAATCTCACGGTCGAGACGTCAGCCGTGGGGGAGAGCAGCGCGCGGAGGGCTCACTTCACCAGGAGCGAGTGACACCAGACAAGGGCGTTCGAGACGCATTGGCGCGAAGGCAGCTTGGCAAAGGGAAGGCGGAGCGGTCGCGCACGCCGGACAAGGATCAGCACCACGAAGAATGGGGCGTGGGCGACCTCCGCCAGTATGATAGGCGACAAGAGCAGGGAGGCTGGAGCGGCGGCGGCATGCATTCGCCGAAGCAGAGGCAGGCGCGCGGCGGCAGATGGAGGGAGGAGTCGCACTCACCTGAGCCACACGGGCGCCCGGAAGGAAGGCACGGAGAGGAGCGTTGGTCGGAGGAGCGCCGTTGACAGCAGCAAGGGGAACACAGCAGCGTGGGGCGCTCGCCGGTACAGCCAAGACACAGAGAGAAGAGGGACAGCAGCGGGTCCCGCTCGCCCGTCTGGCGCCGCCAGCAGAGGAAGAAGTACGGAAGGGAGCGGCACTCGCCATAGTGCCACCAGCAGCACAACAGGAGGGAAGGCACCTGGTCACCATCGCCGAAGAGGCAGCAACAGCGCGAAACCAGCAAGTTGGAGGGGCGGAGGATGCACGACCCGCCGACGCAGCAGTGGGGACGGGCGGAAGAGTAGGGAGGACTGAGGGAAAGGCGCCGCGAGATGGAAGGGAGTCGCCAAGAGAGCAGAGCGGAGGGCGGAAGCTTGGTGTACGGTGCGGGAGGCCAGAGAAGGCATGCAAAGGGCAAGAGAGAGAGGAGCGGAGAGAAGTCAGCCAAGAGGAGCAACTGAAGCATGGGGAGAGGGGCGAGGGGGTGCTGCCAGTACCCCGATAGTGGAAGTGCCCGCCAGGTTCTTGGGAGATCAGAGCGCGGGACCTATCCTAAAGAATTACCTGATGCAGGTAGGGAATGTGCGGTACCGTTGCAACAGGCACAATATGGACCCGGTGGACTTTTTCTTGAGCTTACCAAACACATTGGAGGGAGAGGCCGAGACGCTATGCCACATGAGGATGGAGGAACTGCTCAGGAGGGAAGGGAGGTACGGAGAAGACCCCACGGAGGCATTTCTGGATTGACTGCAATGGCAATTCCCAGGGCACACAGTGGAGCGCATAAGGGAATTCCAGGACTTCAGGAGGGGCCGTGTGGAGTCACTGCTGACCTACTACAACAGACTGATTAACGTGGCGGAAGACGTGAAATGTACGGACAACAGTCTTCTCATCAGCAAGTTCCTGGGAGGCCTAGACGAGGCTCTTGGGGGGGGGGGCTGAGGATAAGAGTGTACGAGCTGGGCATGGAGGCAAGCCTAGAAGAGGTGTTTGATTTGGCAGAATGAATGGAGCTCGCACAGAGGAATTATGAGGCCTACCTGCCCAGGCCGACAGAGAGAAGCAGGAGGCCAACGTGAGCAGCGGCAATGATACTAGAGGGGGGAGGGAGAGTAGATGGGCAAGGGGAGATAAGAATTGACACCAGGACCTGTCACAGGTGTGGGCAGCCAGGGCATCTGTGCAGGGACTGCAAAAGCTATGATGGTTGCGGGAAGCCAGGGCACAGGAAGCAAGAATGCCTAGATGCAGTCAGGTGTGAGATCTGCAAGAAACGAGGGCACGAGCCAAAGAAATGCTATCAGAGGGAGGGAGGGCCAAAGAGGCACCCAGAGGAGCTGCAGCGGCAGATCAGCGGGCTGTAGGCACAGCTGAGGGCGACAAGGCTAAGAGGGGAGGCCGAAGCAGGGATGTATGCCAAAGACGAAGAGGAGGAGGAGGTGGAGCAAGATGTGCAGTGTGCGCTCATGGCTTGGACAGGAAGAGAAGAAATGGGGCTGAGGAGCGGAGGAAAGGATGGCAGGCGGGAGCAGGGAAGGAAGGAGCAAGCGAAGGGAGAGAAGCCAGCCGAGCTGGCCCAAGAACGAGCCCCGGCACGCCATCCCCAAGAAAGGCTTGCGTGCCAGACCTCAGTGCTACTACTCGAAAGGGGAGCAATGGAAGTGGAGGGGGAGAAGGGGAAGACTGCAATCATAGACATGGGAGCACAGAGTGTGATGCTGGGAAAGGGGATGGCTGAGCGGTTGGGGTTTCTGGCATCAGAGAGGCATGTGAAAAAAGGGATGCTGGTGATGACTGCAGAGGGAGGGGAACCAAAGTGGATGACGTGCACCTGAACACCCATAGAAGTGACATTGCTGCCGGGGGGGGGAACATGAGACCAAAATCCGCATGAAGTAAGGGATTACAGAGTCGGAGGACTTTGACGTATTGGTAGGCACCGAGCTAGTGTTCGTAGTGGGGATGACCATATGTACATGGACTGAGAAAGTTGAGTTCAGAACGCGGTACTGGAAGGAGGAGCCTCTGGGAGAGCTGCCAGTACGATCTGTGAAAGTGGAGCCCAAGAGAGCATACCAGGCTGTGGGGGAACTGCTGCAAAGGAGGCAGCAGGTAGAGGAGCAGAAAGGGACATCAGGGGCAGAAGAGGGACCCAAGATGGGATGGATGGACGAGCCAAGGCGGCAGAGTGATTGGCAGCAGCCCATCCACCTGGTGGAGCTGTTTGGAGGGATAGTGGCATGGCTGTCAGCTGTGGGGAGGAGTGGAATCGCAGTGAGGAAATGGACTTACGTGGAGAAGGAGCCAAAAGTGAGGAGGATGGCACAGCACCATGCATGGAAGCTGCAAGCGGAGTTCCCAGAAGTGCTGAGTGGGAGAATGGTTCGAGAAGCCATGGCAGGAACCATCCATGACGTGCAGGAGATAAGAGAGGCAGAGGTAGTAAGCTGGGGGCAGGTAGATCTGCTGGTGGCGGGGTGGGAATGCCAAGGGGTGTCTTGGGCAGGTAGGGGGAGGGGAGGAGAAGATCCCAGGACTGGGCTGATGGAAGACCTGTTCTGCATTATGGAGTGGCTGCAGGAGAGACAGGGCAGGGTGGCATACTTGCTAGAAAACCTGGACCTGGAGGGAGACAGCAGAGAGCCAATCCGAATAGTGAGAGACAGGATCAAGGGGCATCTGGGGGAAGGGATGAGCTGTGATGCGGCCAGAACCGGGTCTTACGCACACCGATTGAGGATGTATTGGCAGAATGTGGTCCCTGCCGTGAAGCTGCAAGAAGAGATGGATGGGGTGGACCAAGCAAGGGAAAGGAAGGTGCAGGACATCTTAGCACTAGGGCGGACCCCAGCACTGGTGTGCCGCAAGAGCTACAGCAGGCACTATCCTTGCAACTAAGTAGGGCAGGAGAGACGAGCCCTGCCTACCCTGGTGGCGTACGCGGGAGCGGCGGGATACAAGTGGAAAGCGGGGAAGCCCGGGCCAGGCATGGTATATGATCACATGAGACGGAGATGGGAGGAAACCACGGCACTAGAACGGGAGCTGGCCATGGGGTATGGGTAAGATGCAATGGCAGCACCAGGTGCGAGCGAGGTGGACAGAAGGAGGGCTTTAGGGAATGCAATGGATGGCCACGTGCTGAGGTGGCTGATCCAGCGGATGTGGCGAGAGACGGTCATGAGCTGGGGGCATGAGGAAAGGAAGGGAGAAATAGAGGCAGTGCCCCGGAGAGCTTAGAGCTGCCAAAAGAAGGAGGAGGAAACATGGGAGGTGGGAGAAGCGATGAGCGAAAAAGGGAAGGAGGCCATGCAGGAGCTGTTGGCCAGGCACAGGAAGTGCTTCGCCTTCAACCTGCAGGAACTGGGGAGGTGCAAGGTGAAGGAGATGGATCTGAAGCTGAGCAGCATGGAACCAGTGTTTCACCGCAAGAGGAAGATGCCACACGGGGACGAAGAAATCTGTAAGGAGAAGATCAAGGAGCTGCTGGAAGCGGGACTAATTAGGAGATCAAAATCAGAGCACGCCACACCGATAGTGGTGGCAGCCAGGCGGGACCTGACAGGGGAGGTGCTGAGCAAGAGGATGTGTGGGGACTACAGGGCACTCAACAAGATCACCATAGCGGACAGATACCCGATGCCAATGGCAGAAGAGGTCTTCGACAAGCTAGCAGAGGAGGTATTCTTCACGACGCTGGACCTACGGCAAGGGTTCAACCAGATCTAGATCAGAGAGGAGGACGTCAAGAAGACGGTCTCTCATGGGCCGGACGGGCTGTATGAATGGTTGTACATGCCATTTGGGTTGAGGAACGCCTCAGCCGTGTTCCAGAGGGTCATGGATAGCGTGTTGAGGGGCGCGGAGTGCACGGCCTGTTACATTGATGATGTGGTGATCTTCAGCATGACAGAGCAGCAGCACCTGCAGGATGTGAAGAGGACCCTGACAGCAATAGAAGCGGCGGGACTCACCTGCCACCCGAAGAAATGCAGATGGGGGGAACACACAGTGCAATACCTGGGTTATGAGGTGAAAGGGGGGCAGATAGGGATACAACAAGCCAATGTGGAGGTCTTGTATAGGCTAAGGGAGCCCAAGGACAAGTCAGGACTGAGAGCAGTGCTGGGCTTCTTGAGCTACTGTAGGCGGTCTGTGCCTAACTTCAGAAAGAGAGCGGCGGTACTGAATGGGCTACTATGGGAAGACAAGGCGTGGGAGTGGGGAGAAGCATAGAAGGGGGCACTGCAGTACTTAATGACAGCAGTCAAGACAGCAACGGTGCTCAAGCTGCCCACCGCTGGTCACCTGTTCACGCTCTACACCGACTGGAGCAGCCAAGAGATGGGAGGGATACTATGCCAAGAGGTGGAGGGAGAGGAGAAGGTAGTAGCATATGCGAGCAGGAGCTGTAACTCGGTGGAGGCACAGTACAACTCTTACATAGGGGAAGGATTGGCAGCGGTATGGGCTGTAGGGCACTTCAGGGTGTACTTGCAAGGGAGGGAGTTCACCTTGGTGATGGATCACCAGCCCCTAACGTGGGTGATGATAGGTCGACCGACTGCGGCCTCCGTTGTTGTCGTCCTCGTCACTGTCGCTGCGGTTGAGGCACTCGTAGGAGAGATGGTCAGGGTCGTGGCATATCCAGCACTCCCTTCGTCAACCACCACCTCCACGACCCTTGTCGTGCTTCGACCTCTTCTCATCAACGTCCTTCATCGACCGACCACCTCCACTGCCCCTGCTGACGATTTTGCTTTGTCGGTGCAACATAACTTACCTGTGGAAGGAGCTCTGTTGGTTGCTCTTCCTCCTGCAGAGCCTCGTCTTTGATAACGTAGCTAGTAAGGGAGTCCTTGTCGAGGGACTCATGCGTGCCGGGCACCATCATCATCCTCTTCATGAGGTTGTGGCTGCGCGGCAGGCCCTTAACGCCATGGGTGATGTGGGATGCTGTCGAGTATTCAACGCTTGCCATCCGCATCTCAGCCAAAATCCGTCGAGCACGGTTGCAGTAGTCCGTCGCCGACTCCCGCTCGCCCATCCAAAGATGTGTCATGTGCTTCTCCAGCTGACCGATGTACAAGTCGTCCGTCGCCTGGTACGTCGACAGGATGAATCGCCACGCTTGGACCAGCATCCAGTCGCTCTCGCCACGACCTTAGCGCTATCTGCACCATTGGCGAGCAGCGCCTCGAGAT